GACGCCGTCCAACTTCAACTTCTTTACAGATTCTTCCAATTCAACGGTCAGCGTGGGCTGTTTGATCTTCGGGGGGAAAGCCATTCCACCTCACAGGTAGCCGTTCGTCCAGGTAACAGAGGAAGAAAAAGCGATACTTCTAATCATGAATGGAGGACGGGGCACCGTTGAATAACTTCTGATGAGGACGGGTGGCTACGCTCAAAAACCCATCGGCGTTTTGGGGAGTAACCTGGAAGAAGTGGTGAAAGAGGTCCAGGTTCGGAGTCAACTCCTTCGATTGGTAGCGGATAATAAATGCGGAGATAAATCAGTACGAGTTGGGCATGAATATTGCCGGTACAACATTATAATGACAGAAGAAGGCAAGGTAGAATTGGTGAAGAGGGAAGCGTAGTCCGGCCTTGATAGAGTCCATATGAACCATGATCATTCCCGGACATCTCATGAACAGGTTATCCGCACCACGCAAGCTGTAGACGAACGACGGGGGAAGGCGGATCTGCAAATCTTTCAAAGCCCTGCGTGAGAAAGACTGCTGGATCTGGAAACATTATGAATCTTCACGATATGGCGGGAGACGTCCACAGGAATGCCAAGGTCAAAAATCTGCAGGTCATCCCCTTCGGTTGCTTCGTCACCAGAATCATAGTCAGTGGGGCAATCAACCCCAGGGTTTGTTTGGGCCGCCGCCATCCGGTCACCTCCGGGGGCGATATCCATATCAACTTCTGCTCCCACACCTCCAGGGACAGCCATATCTGCCACAACATGCCCCACCACGACGGAGGTACCAGAGTGGCCAGAAGTGCTCGCCTTCCCCGAGGAACGGGAACTGGAGCCCGATCCAGAAGACGAGCCGGTAGAAGAGCCTGACCTGGAACTTGACTCGGAAGATATCTTCATAAAACAGACCATATTGAAAGATGAAGCAGAGGGAAGGAAGAAAGTGGGTTCAATTACCTGACGAACTTCGAAGAGCTGATCAAGGAACCAGGGAATACTTGTAGAAGAACTTTGAAAGCAAATGGCGAATAAGGCAAGAAATTGAAAACCCAAAATCCGCACGGGATTCCCAATATTTAAAGGGAGGGGCGCCCTCCCCTTTCCCAACCCGTGTATGACGCATGGCGAGGAGCGTACCCATGGACACGTGTCGCACGGAGATGGACAGGCGTGCAATGATTACACTTTCATCGAAAGTTGAACCGGCCTACATAACCGTCACCTAGAGCCCCGTGAACAGCGGCCGGAAAAGCAACCGTCACATTAGGGACATCGCTAGGGCGGTACGTCGGGAACATTTCTACTTCCTTATGTTCCGAGCACGCTTAGAACATCAGAAGTGGGGGACTTGTGTTGGGTTAATGGCCCAACAAGGGCCGACCCACCAACCCATAAAGGCCTCCTACGAGCGGCCCAACAACCAATAGGGGCTTTCCGACGAACTTCCTCAGAAGGCCCACGAGGATTCCCTACGAATATCCTATTGGAAGCCCAAGATGAGGGGATACCTGTCCGTTGGTTCGGAAGGAGGTTCACCCCAAACGGAAGATAAGTCTCAGGGGACGTACGCGGGTATCCAGGCCCAAGACTCCTGCAAGGTACGTAGGGATGAACGTCCCCTCCCCTTGACAGGAGGCCAAGAATAGCTCAAAGAATAGATCAAGGATAACTCAAGTGCTTGGGGACGAACGTCCCCGTCCCTTGGCAGGGACCAGGACTCCAGCAGGAAACAGGAGCCAGGGCCTTGGGAACGAACGTCCCCTCCCCATGGCGGGAAACCAAGATCCTGGCGGGAAGCGCATTTAATGCAGAAGATTTTGTGGTTGGGATCATGCCGCCCACAGCCAGCCACGTGGACACATTATAAATAGTAGCATTTATTTCACTGTAAAGGGTTCGCAATTTAGCACTTTAGCACTCTAGCATTTGTATCAGCACGTAGCATAGCACTGTACGAACGGCCCTTCGGCTTTGTAATCATTTCCAGTGAATAAACACTCCTGGGCCTTTTCCGTGTTTGTTCTTCATCTCACTTATCCATCATCCACTCGAGACCCTTAGGTTACGTGTTGGGCCTACGGGTTGAAGGAAATAAACCTCAACAAGAAGTTTAAAACCTGATGGTTTTCCCGCCTAAAAATGTGAGTAGAAAATGGCCGGGTCGAGTGTGAATGTATGGAGATGTCCGTATTTGAGCGTAGTGTAGTCAAATACTCCGTATAAAATATTGTGTTTACAAAAGGATTTTCAACAATGTATGCTCAATGTTGTTTGAATGGTGATAATTTTTTAAAGGATGGCTGTGTTTGGTAATTGGCGTTTCCGCCAAAAATTGGAGGGTTTGACCAATTTAGTTGTTTGAAAGTCTGGAATCGTTGTTCGTTTTACGTTTGGTAAAGAGAGGGTTCGCTCAGCGTTTTGGATGAATCCGCCAAAATCAAATACTCTGCAACTAGGAGCGTTTACACTTTGGCGTTTTCAATTAATTATTGGATTTCCAAACCTGTCCTCTCATTTTTTATTCTGTATTCCACTGCATCTGTTGAAGGTCTGCTACCCTCTTACTGCTTCTTTGGGTCACCGGAAGTTAGAACCTCGATCTTTTGATGTTCTAAAACTCATCCTATTGCTCTAGATTTTTGTTGTCTAATGAAGAAATTGCATATGATTCTATTTGCATCTGATTGGATTTTTGTAGCCCAAGCTACGCCTAACATACGTCGCATATGCTAATTAAAAATAATCTAATAAAAATAACTAAATTAGGATATACAAAAGATAACATACGTCGCATATACAAAATTAGGAATTTTCACTAGATGATATTAACGGGTAGTTAACTAAACTTTTTTAGTGAAATATCATTTATTAGATCATTTTGTAAAATATCATATGTTTTAATTAGCATATGATGATAGTTAACTAGTGTGTGTTTATTACACTGGTGATGGAGTATATGGGTAGATATACTCTATCAACTGGTAGTTAACTAGTGTGTCTCGTAGTTAATATCATCTAAATTTAATGTTTAGGAATGTTTAGCTATCTTTGTTAGATAATTAGTACTCGATTGTGTAATTTAATGTCAACAAAAATGATATTAACTACGAGACACACTAGTTAAATAGTTTTTAGATCATGCGAGGTGAATCCAAAATATAAAATTTTGTTGACATTAAATTACACAATTCATTTACTTGTTACGTTCTACAAACTAATTATTGCATAGATAATAAACATTAACTTATTTTACCATTCATGCAAATACTATATGCACCATATATATGAATCAGCAATATAATATTATTCTAAAAATAATAATGTCATACATACTATTGTAATAATAAGAAAACTCTTCATGACTCACAAACACTCTCTTTGTTAGACAAAAATTGTAATTCAAAAACCAATTCTTTATTCTGATAAAGATTCATGGGGTTAAACAAGGCAAAAGTTATTTAAAAAGTATTGTTGGATGTATACCTTTTAAACTCTTTATCTTCAAATAACTTTCCTTTGGGTTGCTATTTGTTATGATTTAATGTAGGGAGATTTCTTAAAATAGGAGTAAATGGAGTTTGAAATTCCAAAATAGGACTACTATGTTTTTATTCCCGAAATGGGACTAACATGGCAGTATTTACTGTCATCTTGTAGGCGTGACTGCTAAATAGTTGTAGTACAGTGCATTTAGAGGAAAATAATTAAAATACCCCGAACTGTGAAGGGGTGTGAGATAAACACCCCAAACTTGCATATGTAATTTAAATACCCCAAACTTTATATAAAAAATTATTTTAGCACCATGGTCATATATTATTTCTTTCAAAAATATTAATTTTTGGTGTTTATTTCATAATTTGATAATTTTTAGCATTCATAAAGATACAATTAACATTCTAAGCTTCCATTGTAAAATAAATAATATTACCCCACCACTATATATAATTCTAATTTTTTCAATTTGCTATTTTAAATTATGCATTTAACACCATAAATTTACATTTTTGAAAGAAATCATACATAACCATGGTGTTAGAATAACTTTTTATATAAAGTTTGGGGTATTTAAATTGTATATGAAAGTTCGGGGTGTTTATCTCACACCCCTTCAAAGTTTGTGGTATTTTAATTATTTTCCCCATGCATTTAACATGACAGTATTTATTATAATTAATGACGGTATTTTTCAATCATGCATGTATTTTTCATACATGAGAGTAACAACATCTATTTCGGGAAGAAAGCATACCAGTCCTATTTCGGAATTTCAAATCTCATTTGCTCCTATTTTGTGCAATTTCCCTTTAATGTATCAATACTTTTTTAGAGCATTTCAATTATAAAATCAAAGTTATTTTTCAACTGTCAAAATTTAGAATGTACTACCTCCATCCCGTTATGATTGTCCCATTTTACCTTATCGGTCCGTCCCACTAAGATCGTCTCATACCAAATTTGGTAGAGTTTGTGTGGCTCTAAATTATTCTTACTTTATCAATTCAATACCAACAACATAAACCACTTTTTATTAATTTGCTTATCACTCCCTCTTGTCAGTTGTCACATTGTTAGGCGGACGGGGGGAGTAATAGTTTTAAATGTTGTACTATGTATGTATTAATAAAAAAAGGGAAAAGGAAACTAATAATACAACCTTTTAGCGGTCTTCTTACGATAGTCCTACCTTTTGATTATTCATGAATAATCCAACCTTTGCACCCCATCTTCATTCACTGGTCTCTGACTGATTTATGACCTGTTATTCCATGTTAGTTTTTTATCTTTGCAAAACATTATGTGATCATAAAGTGAGAATTATGGTATAATGTTTTACAAAAATAAGAAAATAATTTGAAATAACAGGTCATAAATCGTTCAGAGACCGGTGAATGAAGATGGGGTGCAAACTATTAAAAGGAACTATTAAAAGATTATATTATTAGTTTCCATTTTCTCTAAAAAAAAAAAAAAAATTGAACAAATTGGTGCAGAGCCTTCGCTAGGGAAAAAGATCACGCGGCTACTAGAAATCCTGATCCTTCCCCGTCTCCCAGCAAATTCTCTGTCATCTCCATCTTCTCCCATCGCCGCCGTGTGCAAATCACGTCGTATTCGTTGCTTCTCGATCCCCCGAACTCTGTTGAAAGTAGATGTTGATCTGGTTCTTGGGAGAAGAAAAGCGAAGAAATGCAAAAAGCCAATAAAGTTGCAGTAATTTTGTTAATATTTTTCGCTGGATGTTGCCTTCATGCTAGAGGTGAAGAGGCTTTCGATGTTCGGAAACATCTATCTACTGTATCAAGGCATGTTTCTACTCTATTTTAACATCGATTTATGAACATCTGCTAAGTTAATCTGTAAGTATCTGTTCTTCTTTGAATTTTGCTTTTGCCCGACTGCGTACTGCTCCATATAGTTTTTATGTTGGTGGATCAATTGTGAATGCCTATTATTCATCAACTCTTTTTTAAGTTTTGCTTATCATTCTTTTCGGATTGTGGCAGATATGGTGTTGTGAAGGATATCTTATCAGAAGACTCGATTATAGCTCCGGAGATTCCCAATCAATGCACCCCTATACACATAAACCTCGTGGTAATTTTGAAATGCATTCTAATTTTGTGCATAGCTGCAATATATCTTATGATCATGTTTCTCTAGTAAAGAATAATACTACTTTCCGTTACTATTTTTTGTAAGTTTATATGATCTTATGAAGATTGTCATTGTCCAGAGAGAATGAACGATTATTTCCTTCAATAATCATACATTATAAAAGATTAGGTTATAATTTTGTCTATAGTGCTTTCAGTTCAGGAAGCATATATATTACATGCACCTACATGAATTCTAGTGGAGTTTAGTAGTCCTAACTCCAAAATGTTTACTTACCTATGAAATTAAGCCTCAGATGAGTAGCGAAGCTGACAGGATGTCATTTTAATATGATAGTTAAACTTTCTAAAGTAGTCAATGTTCTTAGAGGAAGAGTTATGAGATTGTGCTAGGGAATTTACAGCAGTCAAGTTTTATGATTTGCATGTTGGTTTTACAGTATCACATTATCAGTGTATTAACTATCACAATCAAGGTTGTTAAAATCGCAAGTTGAATTGTAAATTCGTATGATTTTACGATTCAATATCATTAAACCAATTTGTCTCGTAAACAAAATCGGAAATGATAAAAATCGTATAAAATCGTTCTGAAATCGGACAAAATCGTTAAAAATCACGATTACATCCGATTTTACGACTTTAAAAAATTGTGTTTAACTCAAACCAAACATGGCCCATATCTCAAGCCAAACACGGCCCGAATCGATCTGGCCCGTAATAGCTTTATAACCCTTTATTACCTGCCTATGTTTCGAATGGCACCAGTATTAGATAGCGCAACAGTGAGGACAATTTGCCTTGTGCTTCCGGTGTGGGAAAGTTGGATTTGAGAAAAGAAAGAACCATTTAAGAAAAAGAAAAACCTCCAGTCTAAAATAAGAATCTGACCTGCACCCACTATTGGCTTAGCAAGTTAACTTTACCAACTCACCAATACCAACTTTGTTGGAATATTAACGTAGCTACAGAATGTGATTTAGTTAAAACGTAGTTATATAATTTTTGAACTTACATTTATATAATTTAAATATACTTATATTAACGTAGCTATTTCAACTACTCCCTTCGTCCCGCTAAGATTGTTCCATTTTACCTTTTCGGGAAATCCCACTAAGATTGTCCCATACCAAATTTGGTAAAGTTTGTGTGGCTCTAAAACATTCTTACTTTATTCTTACTTTATCAATTCAATATCAACCACATAAACCCACTTTTCTTAATAACTGTGCCACATCTTCTTGTGTCATTGTCGGTGGGACAGAGGTGGTAATACTTGTACAATTTTTCCATTCTAAAACTTGATTTTAACATTGTATTTTTTTATTGAGTGACTTTTATTCTTTGACATAAAATTATTTTGTGCACTTTAGTTAAGACATCATTATAAGACTTAAACATATAATTGTTTAACTTGCATGTTTAAATTTGCTATAAATTGACTTTATTGTTAAATTGTATGTTTCCTTTTTATATACTATTTTTAGTCATTTTTATTTAATAGTTTAATAAAATCTTACGATTTACGATTTGATTTTTAAATCCTTATTCTGATCCAATTTTACGATTGAATTTTTAAATCCTTATTCCGATTTGATCTAAAAATACGATTTAACAACCTTGATCGCAATTCATCATCCATCCGTTCATATTATTTTTCTTGCAAGTGGAAATAATCTATGATGATGAAAGTTTTAAAATTTAATCTTGTTATCATTCATATGAAGGTTGTTGTGAGAATGATATTCGGCGTATTTTTTAGCTCCAAAGTCCAAACTCTTTTGGGACTAAGGCTTGGATGTTGTTGTGATTGACATCAAGCTTGTCATGGCGCATGTCGATCGCCATGGTGCAAAGGCATTTTTCATGGCACATGGCGATGGCGCATATACGAATGATGCATATGGCACATATGGCGCTATGGCGATGACCACATTTTCATGGCGATGGCGCATATGACGCGCCATATCTCGCCATTTACTACTATGATTGACATTATAAATTTCTGACACCGACCTGAACTAGCTGGGATTAAGGGGTACTGGTGATTATGATATAATGGATTTTGCAGTTAAAGGTTAGAAGTTCAAAGCAAAGGATTACTAGGAATAGCTCATTCCATCACATCTGTTTAGTAGAACAAAACTAAAAACGTGTTTCGAGAGTTATGCGGGAAATGATATCTTGGTTAAGAACTAATGCATTTTTTTGTAGGCATAAGTCCCTACCCTCTAGTTTTTGTACTATTTGAAAAGTCTCTAGAAGTTCTTAGATGTACTTTTTTTTAAATTTAAGAATTTTTTAGAGCTACACTGAGTAGCTTCTGATAGAAAGTTTGTTTTTTATGATTTTTTTAACTATTTAAGATTTAAGATTTTAAATATTTTAATTATTTAACTATTTTAAATTTTAACTATCTAAAAATTTAACTCTTTTTTGGATGAGTTCAACATGGTCATTTTACCCGTGATAGAAAGTTTGTTGCTTTTAGTATTAATTAATCCTAACAATTTGTTATACCCAAGAAAACTAATTTAAACGGTCAACTTTTAAAAGATCTTTTCAGTCATAAAAAGCCAATGCTCCACAATTATTAAAAAGCTCACAAAAGTATCTTTTCAGCTAGTTGTGCCAAACATAGCCTTAATTATCAAGGCGATTCTAATATATTCTATTATGAGGCTTATATTTAATAAGCATTACAAATGTGTTTGACAGGCAAGGCATGGCACTCGTGCTCCAACAAAGAAAAAGATAATGGAGTTAGATGGCTTAGCAGACCACTTAGAAGTCCTCGTGAAAAATGCAAAAGAAAAAAGGACATCTTTAGAGAAAGTTCCTGGTTGGATGCGTGTATGGAAATCTCCATGGAAGGGAAAGCGTACAGGTGGAGAGCTTATCGCTGAAGGAGAAGATGAACTATATAATCTTGGGGTAAGAATCAGAGAGTATCTTCCAGACCTCTTTAACGAGGAATATCATCCTGATGTTTATACAATCAAGGCATCACAGGTTAGTGGTTATTATTTTAATTTTCTGGTATTTCTGTATTTAAGATGCTTGGCAGGAAAAAGATCATTCTGCTTGCTTTAAGCTCGTTATTGTTTATATAAATATATAATTTCTGGTTTCTCTGCCATGACCCTGATACGGCTGTAGATTATCTGAGTGCATGGGGCCATGGGGGCTATCAATGTGTTTTCTGATTTAGTACTATACAAATGTCCCATTAAGTCATTGATTTTGAGGCACATATAGAAGATGTTTCCGTTAAATACACTTGTCGTTTGCAGTTTTTAAGTGCAGTCTAATCTTTTTGATTTCGTGCTTCTTTCCTTCAGTAATCTTATTCTTGCATTAGTCAAAACGAGGTTTGTTTTTAGGTACCTCGGGCATCAGCTAGTGCTGTGGCCTTTGGCATGGGTCTCTTTAGTTCGAGAGGCAAGCTTGGGCCAGGCAAGAATCGAGCATTTGCAGTTATCAGTGAAAGCCGTGCGAGTGATATAGTTCTCAGATTTCATGATTGTTGCCGAAGCTACAAGGTAATTTTGTGTACTTATAAAAATGAGGTTTTTAGGCTCAAATAAGCATGTACAATGTCAGATTTATTATGACTATGATGATGCCTATGTTGAGGTCTCAGAATTATATTTTAATTTCAGATATTGATAAATAAATATTTTATATAAATAATAACACAGTTGATATCTAGTGTGCTAAGTGGCCAAATAGGTAAAAAAGGGAAAAAAGATTTTTCCCATCCTTCATTTGAAAAAGAAAAGTTTGACAAGCCTATTTAGATTCTAATTTTCTACTTATTCCTGATTTAATTCTCATGTCCTTTTTATCCAGGGATTCAGAAAAAGTCGACAACCCACTCTTGACAAGCTCAAGGAGCCCGTCTTGAATGAAATTACTCAGGAATTTATAAAAAAATATGGGCTTAATTTTACTCTGCAAGATATATCTTCTTTATGGTTTCTCTGTAAGCAGGTCAATATTGTAACAGTGGTGTTATATGATTGTGATTAAGTAAATACCAGTTTTTTCTTGATCTGGAGTTTTTTTTTTTGTTTATTTCTGTAGGAAGCGTCCTTATTAAACATCACTGGTCAAGCTTGTAGTCTTTTCAGTCCATCTGAGGTACTTCCTTTGGGGATGCACTTTCTTTCTACCCTGGTTATCATTGCGTACCTGTAAGGAGTCTTATGTTTATCAGATTTGAGGATGGGGGTCCCATCACCCAAGCAGATATTAAGAAAATTTGGACCATCTCTTGAACAGTTGAACAAAAAAAACTCTAAATAATATGGGTTTTCAAAATAAGCAGGGATTTAATCCATTTTTAGTAGGAAAATGCTACAAGTACTAACAAACTAAAGAAAAAACTTACAAACAGGTGATGTGGCAATTGTAATTCCCTTTGATGTAAAAGTGACGTGATGTGTTACATAATATGATGCTGCGATGTACCTCTTTTGTAAACTTTTTGTAAGAGTATATGTACCTCTAGCACAACTCTTTTTAGTATTCTAGTCTAGAATGATATGAGTGTATGATTCTTTGTCTCACTATTTGTCTCGTTTTATTCCTCTCTACTACTTGGTTTTTTTTGTAAAAGATAAGTAGGTCTATTAAGTTCATTGCTGCTTTTTGGATAGTCCGTAGGTAATGATTTAACACGAGTTCAGGTTCATTTTATCATTCATTATCTCTATTTGTCTGTCTAGCACTGAACATTCTATTTTTTATTTATTTACTGGTTTATTTATTAGGTTTCTCTCATGGAGTGGACTGACGACTTGGAACTATTCATAATTAAAGGCTATGGTAATTCATTGAACTACAGAATGGGAGTGCCGTTGCTTGAAGATGTGGTTCAATCTATGGAACAAGCAATCAAGGCTAAAGAAGGTAACAGTTTCCATGAAAAGATTTAATCTCTGGGGATACTTATTTCAAGGAAACATATATTTTATTATGAATAGGCGCTAATGTTAATTTCCTAGTTTTTTTTTTCAAATCCATTTATCTAATAATCAAGTGTGAGCCATGGGACCTTGTCAAGGTGAAACAATTATCCATAATAGAAATAGAAATGTAACGAATGAGGAAGAAGGATAATTCTCATTCAGTTGAAATGATGATTACAGAGAGTATTTATAGAAGTTGCAGTACAACTGAAACTAACTAACTAACTGATGACTATTTGATCATAACTAATACAGTCCGTATAGTATATTTAACATTCCCCCCTCAAACTTAGTGTGACTTTGCTGGAGATGCAATGACACTAAGTTTGTTTCTCAAATTAATGAAGGATGAAGCAGACAAGGGTTTTGTTAGAATATCAGCCAGTTGACGTTGAGCAGGAATGTGGAACACTTGTAGTTGTTTCAGTTGAACTTTCTCTCTCACAAAAAATAGATCAATCTCCTTGTGTTTGATGCGAGAGTGTAGAACAGGATTGTGTGCCAGTTGGACTGTACTTTGATTGTCACAGTATATTTTTGGAGTGATAAAAGGAACCTTGAGTTCACTAAGCACAAACTGAACCCAGAGAAGTTCAGCTGCAGTTTCAGTCATGCTTCTATACTCAGCTTCTGCTGAGGATCTGGCAACACGCAATTCTTTCTTGGACCACCAAGAAATGATATTTGGACCAAGAAAGGTGCAGGACCCTGATGTGGACTTTCTGTCAGTAGGATCAGAAGCCCAATCAACATCACAAAAGGCAGAAATGGGTAGAGGCATAGTAGATAGAGGAATGGGTTGGATGAGAAGTCCATGTGTAGTGGTGCCAGAGAGATAATGCAAGATATGCTTGACTGCTTTCCAGTGATCATGCAGAGGTGCAGCCATGAATTGACAAACTTTATTAACTGCATAGCTAATTTCAGGTCTTGTTAAAGTAGCATACTGTAGAGTACCTACTACAGATCTGTAGAAAGAAGGATCGGGTAGAGGTTCACTCCCTTCATGAGTGAGTTTGCAAGTACTGATCATAGGAGTTATGACTCCTTTGGAATCTAGCATTCCAACATGATGCAATAGATCTCTGACATATTTGGCTTGAGAAAGATGTAGGCTTCCATCTGGCAGTTTCTGGACTTGGATTCCTAAAAAGAAATCAATGTCTCCCAGATTTTTCAGAGAGAAAGAAGAGTTCAATTTGTTGATGAGAGTTTTTATAGCTGAAGGGTTATTGCCAATGACAAGAATGTCATCAACATAGATGAGAATGTAGATGAAGATACCAGAAGATGCAAAGAGAAGTAGAGAAGGATCACATTTGCTTTGCTTGAACCCAGCACTATAAAGAACTGAGGTCAGTTTGTAGAACCAGGATCTAGGTGCCTGTTTTAAGCCATATAGGGACTTGTGAAGTTTGCAAACCAAAGATGTATCTTTTACTTGAAATCCTGGAGGTTGAACCATGTACACTTCTTCACTTAGATCTCCATTGAGGAATGCATTATTGACATCCAATTGTTGAATAGGCCAGTGATGAGATACAACAACAGTGAGAAGTATTCTGATTGTGATATGCTTGACCACAGGAGAAAAGGTTTCTCCAAAATCAAAACCAAATCTCTGATGGTAGCCCTTAGCAACTAACCTTGCTTTGAATTTATTCAAAGAACCATCTGCATTTTCTTTCACCTTGAAGACCCATTTGCAGCCTATAGTCTGTTTATCTGGAGGAAGAGGAACTAAAGACCAAGTGTTGTTAGAAATCAATGCATCATACTCAATTTTCATTGCAGCAGACCATTGAGGAGAAGTGAGTGCCTGCTTGACTGACTTGGGCTCAACATGAGCTAATAGTAAGGTTGGATTAGGTCGAGGTTTAACAATTCCATATTTGGCTCTGGTTTGCATGGGATGAGTGTTAGTCAGGGGAATATTGGATTCAGAAGAAGAGGATAATGAATGTGATGGAGATGAATTAGATTGTGAAGGAGAAGAATTGTGAACTGAATCAGGCCGAGATGAATTATGTTGTAAGTGAGAGGGGGTAGAGATAGATTGAGAGAGATTATGTTGTGATTGAGAGGGAGTAGAGTCTGGTTGAGAAGAATCAGTTTGGGATGAAGAAGAAGTAGAAGAATCTGATTGGGAAGAGGAATTGGAAGAAACCATGGTTATGGGAAGAGACTGTGAAGTAGTGGAGATACAGGGCTGATGAGGAACTGAAGTGAAAAGAATAGGATAAGGAAATTTGGACTCATTAAAAACTACATCTCTGGAGATGTAGACTTTCCCAGAAGGTGAGAGACATTTGTAGCCTTTGTGTTGGGAAGAATAGCCTATAAACACACACTCTTCAGAGTGAAAATCCATTTTGTGTTAATTGTAAGGTCTGATGAAAGGAAAACATGAGCATCCAAAGACTCTAAGAAAAGAATAATCTGGAATAGAGCCATATAGTTTAAAATATGGACTAGAATTTGCAATGGACTTTGAGGGAGTTCTATTTGAAAGATGGACAGAAGTTGCAAATGCAGCATCCCAGAATTTGTGAGGTAAAGAAGAATGGGCTAGAAGTGACAGACCTTTCTCAACAATTCTTGGGCTAGAAGTGGGGCAAACAACACCATTTTGGTGATGAGTGTGAGGACAAATGATTCTATGTGTGATGCCTTTGTCAGTTAGAAATGTGGTAAAAGATCTAAACTCACCTCCCCAATCAGATTGAAGAGATTTAATGGAAACTGAAAATTGGTTGAGAACATATTGGTAAAAGTTTTTAAAGGCAGTAAGGGCATCAGACTTCTTTTTCAGGAAGTAAATCCAAGTGTATCTTGTGTAAGCATCAATGAATGAAATGTAGTAAGAATATACATCAAAAGATAACATGGGAGCTGGTCCCCAAAGATCAGTAAATATCAGTTCAAATGGTGAGTGAAAGATAGTAGTGGAGGGAAAAGATGGAAGTCTATGTGCTTTACCAAGACAACAAGAAGAGCAGAAATCAATATCACTTTTATTAGTGGAAGTAACATTACAATGTTGCATTACAGATTTGAGAGCCTCAAAGTGAGGATGACCAAGCCTCAAATGCCAAAAATTACAGGAAAGAGAATTATTACAAGATTGAACTTGATTACATGACTTATTTGTAGACAAAGATTGACTGGAAACAAGAGTTGGAAGGGACTGAAACTTGTGGAGACCATCTGCACCTAGGATGCCATGTATAAGGACCTTTTTAGAAGCCTGTGTTTTAACAAAACATTCATGAGCATGAAACTCAAAGAAAACATTATTATCTCTTGCAAACTGACTAACACTAAGTAAGTTTTTGGTTATGGAAGGAACATGGAGAATGTTATTTAGTAAGAGAGTATAAGAAGGATGAAAAGGAGAAGAGAAGGAAAAGAAACCAATCGACTTAATGTCCAAACCTTGGCCATTGCCCATGAATAGCTTGTCAGATTCACTGTGCTGAATGTTGAGAGGATCAGGTGTGACATGGTGTGAAGCTCCAGAATCTGGAAACCAATTCTGAACATTAGGAGGTGGTCCTAGCAAGGAAGTGTTTGCTGAAGCCCAAGCTGCAGTTGGAGTAGGTTGATTTTGAGATGATGATGGAGAATGATAATTGGTAGGTCCCCAATTTGTATTCTGAGAAGGCTGATTGGGAATGTAGTTTGAATGTAGTTTGGTGTTGGTTGAGTAAACTGTGTATATGGATGAGGATGAGGTGTAGAATAGTTATTATGAGGATGAGGTGTAGTATTTGGATATGGGAGGTTTTGTGAAGGATAAGAGTGATAAAGATGAGGTGTAGGATTTGGTAAAGTAGGATTAGAGACTGTGTAGGTATGATTATGATTTGGTAACGTAGGATTAGAAACTGTGTAGGCGGGATTATATCTGTGATAGCAAATAAGAGCACTGTGACCAACCTTGCTGCAAACTTGACAAATGACAGAACTATGACCACCAGATCTGCCACCTCTTCCTCTGTTAAAACCACCACAGCCTCTACCTCTGTAGTTAGTGTTGGTGGCTGAATTATCATACTGAGCAATTTGTGCAGATGGACTCTTAGAGGAGTGTTGAGATTCAGTATCAGTTTGTGAAGGTGTTTCTTCGAGTTGAGCAACATTAGCAGAGAATAAAGTCTGTTCTGAAGAATCTCGAAGCTTTCTTATTCGCAGTTCTTTAGCTAGCAGGAGAGACTCAAGCTCAAGCTCAGATACAGTTATAGGATCTAGAATACTTCTGGATGTGACGGAAGATACGATCGAATCATATTCTTCCGGAAGACCTTCAAGGATCACATTGATGTGATCCTTGGTTGAAATAGGTTCACCGACGAAAGTAAGATTATCAATTATGGTCTGAATACGAAGAAGATAATCAGAAATGGAGCGATCACCTTTTCCGATCTTGTACAGCTCGGATTTCAGCCGACGAGCCTTCGCGACAATGTTTGACCTGAAGAAATGCTCGATTTCACTCCAGAGTTGATACGAGAAGGTGCAAATGATGACACGAGCATGAAACGATTCCGAAAGAGATGCCAATAACCACGAAAACAGCAATTGATCTTGCTGTTCCCAAGCACAGTAAGCTTCATTGATCGTTGTTGTCGCGCCATCATCACTGGTGATAAATTGATCTGGAATTTAAGGATTTTCAATGAATTTTTGAAGTTTATGAGCTCGAATCACAGATTTGACATGATGTTTCCAGAACAAAAAATTATTAGAATCTAGTTTGATTGGTAAGGGATGATGAAAGATTATTTGAAAATTATGAAAATTAATTTTCAATCCAAGACAATATGTAAAAAGGTGAAATGAACCACATAACAAGTCAACAACAAAAACAACAATAATTGTTGGAATAATAATACTAATAGCTATCACTATAATAATAATGTTAACTATTACTCCCTCCGTCCTATTGGACTTCGCCAATTTCCTTTTTTGTTAGTCCTAAAAACTTTGTCACTTTACTTTTAAAGTAATGAATTTGTGGTTCAACTTATTTCTGTCTCCTCTGCACAAACTTCAATCACACTTTTTTTACTTTTTATATTTCACTCCACACAAAGTTGGCGATGTCTAATGGGACATAGGGGTAATACTATAATAATAATGATAACTATTACTATTATTTGAACTCAATATTTGTTATTATTATCGCTCTTTACATTTTTTTTACAAAGCCACACTTTACAATAACAACATAAATAATACTCCCTCCGTCCCGCTAGAAGGTTCCCGTGAACGGTTTACGATGCTTGACTAACGATAAAGCAATTTAATCCCTGTTCACACTAATTAACATATTCAGTAACTACTTTAAAACCGCTACATGCGAATAGTGGACACGAACCTTCTAATGGGACGGAGGTAGTAACATTTGTAAAATGATTTTCTTAAATGGAATATGATACATTCCTAGTGAGGCTTTGTTATGGTTTAGTTGAATTGGAAAGTTTTAATGAAGCCCCTTCTTAAAGCAATCTTTCATTCTAATTTTCGATTTTTCCTGTAGAAGGACATGCTCCTGGAAGTTATGAAAAGGCAAGGCTACGTTTTGCTCATGCAGAAACCTTGCTTCCCTTTTCATGTTTGATAGGACTCTTTCTTGAAGAATCTGGTAAGTAATTTTGCTCATATGCCATCTTGACTTCTACCCACTGGTGAGTGACTTTTCCTTCTAAGTCAAGGAGTGTGCCAAATGTTTCAGAGTTCGAACGAATTCAAAGAGAAGAAGCATTGCAACTTCCTGCCAAGCCTCCCCAGAAGAGAAACTGGCGGGGAAGTGTAGTTGCACCGTTTGCAGGAAATAACATGCTAGTACTGTATAGCTGCTCCACACCACAGGAGTCAAACAAGTACTATGTACATGTGTTGCATAATGAACATCCCATTCCGATGCCAGTAAGTTTTTTGAGATTAATGCTCAAGTTTACTTTAAAGATGACTTATTTCAAGGTAATAAGTGTTTTGTAGAGGAAGAAAGATGCTTTTACTTTGAAAAGTTCAACCAAGCATCCCTAAGTGCTTAAATGAGAAAGCATTTATGATAAGAGAACTTTTAGCCATACATATTCCTTGTCTCCCTCCACTCCTTGAAGATCTTTACTAATGCATTTGGCAAATTTGAATAGTCTATTATCTACATTTTTTTATGCCTATGAAAAGTGATTGGCACACCATTTAAGGTAAAAAAACAAGTGATATTATTGTCATTTTACCGGAATAGTTAACAAATAAAGGAAGATGTTCTTAATAAGTTTATGAGCTTATCCATGGGCCTCAAGCGGTTAAGCCTTTAACTTTCCAGTCCACTATAATGCTGGCCTCTGCATTGATGCATTTTCTTGTGGGCAACTAGTTTGTTAATGAGTAGTAGATTTGGGGATTTTCTATAGGGAAATTTCCTAAAATAGGAGTAAAACAATGTGACTTCCCAAAATAGGAGTAGTGTGTGTTTTCCTTACACAGGAGTGCTTTGTTTCCCCCGAAAAAAGAGTAATGTACTGCCATATTTTGGCATTATCGGGTTTTAATATGACAATATTAATGCCCCTAATATGGCAGTATTGTCCAAGCCTGACAATAATTACTCCTATTTTGGCCAATGTTGTTTTTCTAAATTGTCTTTAAGCTCTATGTTTTTACTGGAAAATACTTTCATGGATTCTTTAAAATTCAATGGAAAATGAAGGGATCTTTTTCCTGATAATGTTGATCTTTTCTATTTTTGGGTGAAACATTATACTAGAAGTATAGAACTGTTAGAAGTATCTTTTCCTGATACGGGGTACATAGAAGTATAGAACTGATAGAAGTATTGGAAAACATTTTTTCCCAGAAAACGTTTTCTGCAACAAGCTATTTTTTAGAAACATACAGAACCTTAAACTTGACATATTTACCAACCAACTTTAGGGTTGAAAGCTCATACTTTGACTACTGTGGACTAGTCTTTTACTATCTTGGTCTGTTTCTTATGAAAATGCCGCACTGCTTTTGTATCCACCTGCTTTAGGGATTAAACACATTGATTCTTGGGTGCAGGGCTGCAATGGATCAGCTTTTTGCCCTTTTGAAGTATTTAAGGTATATAATCTTTAGAAATTGGGTATGAATTTAGATCTAGGGTTCACATACTATCTCATGTTTATACATATTCGTGGTTTGCCACAGAACCGAATAGCTGCTTCACACTTGAAACATGACTACAATGCCCTTTGCAATGCAATCCCCAGTGCTGAGGCTCCAAGTGTGTGGTCAAGAGTTTTTGGATGGCTTTTCTCACCAAGTAACACTGCCACGCCAACCCCGAAGGTTGAACTATAGATTCTTTTTTGAAGCATAGGTAGTTTGTTACCTTGCCACATCTCTTTTCATATGCTCTTTATATTTTCTTCTTGGCCTAATTTTAAAAAAGTACTGTGTTTGCTCAAAATGTCAATTTAGTCTTGATTTGGGCACTTGACTGCTCATTCTGGTCTAAAGAGAACTTGCATGAAGCTGATGTGGCAGCGACAAACAGCCAAAAGTTTATTGGAAAATTGATTCAAATGCGCTCCACTATTGGATGTATGATTTCAGCACCCCTAAACTTCAATGTGTGAAGTGAATACCTTGAACTATATATTATAGGTAAGCTCAACATGCACATATATTATGTATTTCAAAAATGCAAGGTTAGGATGCTAAGTGCTCATCCTAAAATGTTTGCAGTATTTCAACTGTGCACTTAGCTCCCTAAGTACGTTTTGTTGCGAAAAAAATGTCTCCTGTCCATGATGCTAAAGTGGGGCCCATGACATGGAAGTTCATGATTTTCATTTCACCCATTGAGGTTTCGGGTTCTAACTTCACACATCGTCATAGTATGCAGTATTTTGAATTATTTTTCCTGAAATTTATTTAAATAGATTATTGCTACAATGCTACATTGCCCCTCATGGTTATACTGTGATGTACATACCCATAAAATCATCACTCCGTAACATAACGTACCTATTTAAATATATATGAGTAATTTCACAATGTAGGTGTACGATGACCCATGAAGGCTTTTTGTCATTTTTCATTTAATAATTCAGGGTTTACTAGAAATTGCTTCATAAATCATTTGGCACTCGTGTCAATGTCACTGCTAAATTGAAACTTTGTAATGTTTAAGAAAGAACCAGAATTTTGCTTTTTTAAGTTTTGCTTTCAAAATCTCAGAATTTTGAAAGTTTGTAATCTCACTTTTGCCTTGACTTTTTTAAGCTTAATTTCAGTGGGTGACCAATAGCTGACCTGATCCGAGGAAGTCTTATTTCGACTGGTGGGTGATCTTATTTTGAAAGTGCAAAACTATGGAGGATTAGAAACTACTAACTACTCTGTTATGCTGGGATACATAATCATATTTTATGGTCATAATAACTTTTGTTAAAGCTGAATGAAATTAAATTATGATCCTCCTTTTTATCTCTTGAGATCCCTTTAGCAGTTGGAGATCTTGCTGTCTTATATCATAACATCAATTTTAGTTCGTCTCTTTTTGTTGGGAAAATGCACGTGCTTTTGGTTCAGTTGCACACGATTAGTACGAAGACATGTATTATTAAGATATATAGAGTGAATGACTGTAGTAATATGACGGTAGTATCTTTTTATGAGTTATAATTATTCCTTTCTCGTTAGAGAGACCGGTTGCTGTTTGTTGGTTCGATTAACACAACATTGTGTTTGGAAATATGGAGGGAAAAGAAGTTACATTTGAAACAATTGAATTTACATCTGACTTTGTGTAGTTGAGGACTTGAGGTAAGAGTTGAGTAAGAGAAATTGTGAGTAGCCATGGATCCGGACCCGGAAGCCAGACCCAACTCGGGCATTAAGGGTCAGGTACCGGTTATGGCTAATTTTTTAATTATAGTTACTTTGATACTAAATTAAAACAAACAAAAAACTATACACTTAAAAAATGAAATACGAAGTATATGTATATTTGAAGCAATAAATTGACTTGTACATTTATTAAAAGCTGCTCAATTAAAATTTATAAAAATGCAAAACATTTCAAATTTGAAGTGTACATAACACATACTCCCTCCGACCCATAAAATAAGTCCCATTTTCCTTTTTGAGATGTCCCAAAAAATTGTTTTCATTTCCCTTTTTGGAAAGTTTTGTGTGGCTAACATTCATTTACCTTTTTCTTACTCAATCACAACCATACATTTCCACTTTATTCTCACTTTCTTAAACTCCGATCCAAATTGAAATGGGACTTATTTTATGGGATGGAGGGAGTATAATTATGTTTATAAATACGTAATTGTCAAAAAATATGTAAACAATAGAGAAATATTACATGATTCTCTTACTCTTCAAAACTCTTGCTTCCTTAGTTGATTGTTATTTCCTTCATGAAGTGGTGGGTTGGTGGCTTGGTGCTATGTTTAGTTTTTGAGTCGTCAGTGGTAGGGGTGGATTCGGGTCGGGTCAGGGTTGGGTCGGGCCGCCGGGTCGTATCATATGGGTCCGGGACCGGCCTGAGGGTTGGACGGATCCGATTCGGGCCGGGCCACCCGCCCGGGTCACGGGTCGGGTCACCCGTCGGGCCGGGTCGGTTAAATATTTTTTTTGTTTTTATAATTTATATTTTATACTTTATAGTTTTATACAAGTATTAAAAAACAAACTTCAAGTGCATTTATTTGAAATGAAATAGGAACTACATTTGAAAATCAAATAGGAACTACAATTGTTTTTAAAACATGAAATACTAATCGATCATTCAATCGGAATCTCCGGCATAGGTAGAGCCACCCTCGGTTGTAGATTCATCCCTAAAGTGTTGGGATGGGGTGATGTCAATTTTTGAGCTCTACGGGCTGCTTTCAACCAATCGTGGTAGCATATAAGCATCTCAAGAGATTCAGCGCTCAACCTCGTTCTGGTTTGTGTTAGGACATTGTCGGCCGAATTAAATTCTTGTTCCACGGCAACCGTTGAAACCGGCATTGATAGCACTTGCTTAGCCATCTTTGCTAAAACCGGGAATATTCTTTCTTTTCCCTTCCACCAGTTTAGTACGTTAAAATTATCATCTTCTTCAAAATCAACATCATAAGTTAAATACAAAGAAATCTCATTAATTGTGCTTTGTTGTGTAGCGGGAGTTGATTTCGTTTTTTAATAAGATTGTCAAACGTAGATTTGAAAATTGATTTTCCTTTAGATGATGTTTGTGTCGGGGGAGGGGGCGCATTGCCATATTATGCATGAAACTCATTGAATAATGCATAAAATATATCACTAACCTCGTTGTATTCTTTTTTCGGATCAATTGGGTTGTCCTCATACATTGGCAATGGACCAAAAAAGCAGCATAATAATAATTCAAACATTCTTCTAAAGAATCAAGTCTAAAACGAGGATCGAGAACAAATGCAATACCATAAATATGCGGAATATGTGAATAATATTTTAAAAACTTTTCCTTCATAAAACTAGCAAAATAACTCACATAATCAGCATTCTCAAAATTTGAAAAAGCACCGGCGAGATTAACAACTTCACGAATAAATTGGTTTGAGGTAGGTTTATAAACATGACTAAAAGTTTCAGTTGCATTATTAAAATATATTAAAGCATTACAAATTTTTTCACAGGTGTCAATCTCAGTCGAGTTTATAATATAGTTATCATATTGTTTCATAAAAACAGGAAAATGTTGTTTATATCTAAGAAGAACTCCAATTAACTTATAGGTACTATTCCAACGAATAGACAAATCTTTAGGAAAAGCCACATATCTCTCACCTCTTTCTATCAAATAATCATGCCATTTTTTCCTAAGTTGTCCATTACCCCAAATACGTCTAATCCCCCCTTGACTACCTCCAACGATGCTCCCAACGCTTTTAGACCATCTTGCACACATAAATTTAGAACATGGCTAGTAAGTATTTAACAATTTTTTTTTAATAAAAAAATAGGACCGTTGGACCCGGACCCGGACCCGGGCCCGACCCGGCCGGGCCGGGTCACATTTTTCCGGAACCGTGCCCGCCCCGCCCATTCCCACCGGTTCGGGTCTACACCCGGTCCCGGACCGCCCGACCGGGCCGGTCCCGGGCCCGCACAGTACCGGGCCGGGCCGGGTCACGGGCCGGGTGGCCCGAACCGAATCCACCCCTAGTCAGTGGACCTTCAATCGAACGTGGAAACACACAGGTGTCTTAATATATTGTGCACTCAACCTCGTTTTATAATTGGTGGGGATGTCGGTGACTTCACTAAACTCTTGCTTTATGACAACGTTTATATAAACATGGGCAGAATTAGCTTCTCCATTGTTGATAAAATTGCAAACATTAGCTTCACTATTTGAGAATGTCAAATCCTTCCCATTTTTCACTCACAAAAACGTTAGATAGGTCATTGTACATGTTGAGCAATGTGCACGTCACTTGTTGTTCGAAGGATCCTTTACCTTGTTAAAAGGATATTGAATAAGGTGTGAACGATTTTTTTGGAAGTGCTAGTGTGCTCCAACTCTTCGTCAATTTCAAGTGCGAGTTCTTGATTTAAAAACCGCCGTTAGGTGTTTCAACAAGAGTTGCATCATTAATTTGTCAAACATGGCACCTCTCGTCAAAATTGCCTCGCAATCATCAACGGTTGGGATGAAGAAGATGTTGCCCCATGACTGAATACATTTTGTGATTTTGTATGCAATATTTTAACAGAATAATGATAGAATATACAAATGACTGAATGTTGATAACTTGATATATTCACCATCTTGTTTGCGAATAGATACTGAAAACGAGCAATTCTCTATTGTTTTTGATAACTTTAACTGCACCACCAAATTTAGCTTATAAAGACAATAAAGTCATTATTGTGTTACGCCGCACAATTTTTCTTGCTAAACCCACAACAAGTGGCATTTTTATATCCATCTCTATCTGTTCATAGAAGTTTATAATCATTAAACAATTTAAAGTGCACAAAGAATTCACAGAGCCGCCCCCTCCAAAAAAAGCTAAGGCTATCCATAAACTAAGATCTGAAGCTCTCTTCTAACAAGAGCAGTATATACCTTTATAACTCAAGATCTGATGTTTGCTACCAATTGGAACAAGGGGATGTTAGGAGGGAATATTCCCGCCAGAGGGAACCCCACAACTCCACAAGTGTTCTCAACCCATTTTTTGAGAAAAGACTAACCTACGTATAAGTCAATGTAAACATCAGGGGGGTGTTCAGAAGACTATTCACAAATTTCAAATCCTTCACAAAAGTCAGCTAACTATCTTTTCTTCCTCGTGGTGACACATGTGGAATCAGTATATACTGCCACGTGGCATAATGAAGACTATCTTTGGAGGGAAATAGTGACGGGAGCATTTCAGACCTTTGCCAAATTGGTCTCAGCCAATGAAGAATGAAGGTCCTCTCTAGATTGCGATCTTCTGCTTTGAAGTCGTTGTTGGCTTCTGTGTGGGGGCCGGAAGGAGCCCATACCACTATCGAATTGGATTTGCCCTACCAAACAACTGGACGAACTGCTATGTGATACACCACTAGATGATGAGTATAACGAAGGGCCTTCACCTAGGTGCACCCCGAAACCATATCCATTTCTTTGAGTAGATGCTATTGTTGGACTGAGTGGTAATTTCTCTCTCACATCCCCTAGAACACAAGAAAAGTGTTTGTAATTTTGCATCTAGGTGGAGGTACAGATAGTAGTTATATGAAAAGAAAATGAGAATGAGAACAATTTATGATTTTTTTTTAGTTTTACTTCTTCCGTCCCAATATGTCATTTGGGTTATGGACAGGCTTTAGGAAAGCAAAATTGATATCAGTATATGTTATTTACAATGGTAACATTCTGCAAGGAAAAAAGGGAGTTTGGGTTCACAAAGAGTAAAAGGTCAATGATGTATAAAAAGATAAAATGTAGAAGCAAAAAGTTAGTAAAGTTCAAATCACGAAAGCATAATTTTTTTTCTCAGACAACACGAGACATGGGTAGTACATAAAATTTATACAACTCAATGGTTGAAAACAAGATTACTATATTTAAGAAATCAGCAGAAAAGTATTCATTAACACCGAAAACCAAATTATAAACAAATAATCGGAAAATGTAGAGGAAATAATAAGCCAACTGCAAAAGTGTGACCAGGGTTTGACCAATGGATAGTAATGAAGCAAAGTCAAATTGGAAAAAGTGGGTGCTAAAATTGGTGTATATGTTATTTACCTGTACTGATTGGACTCCAACGCTGGAACCTGAAAGGATTAGGCATAATAGAGGCAGTTGATGCATTACTATGCCTGAAAATGGGAAGGTACGGCTTCCGGAAGAACTTTGGAATCGAGTTTACAATACATAAAAATGCACAAAAAAGAACAGCCAAAGAAGCAACTAAACCAGCCAACGGAAGAATCCTTTTAACCTTCATCCGGAATAACTCATATCTCTGAAACTCAAGCTTTTCTGACACTTCCTTTCCCGCTTCTAATAGAGCAACTCCGAGTGTCCAAGTTGTTCTTCCGGAATCAATAATGATATTACCATCTTTAACCTTCAGCCCTTCTCTCAACAGGAACACAATATATGGTGCCCTGAAACAGTACTGTTCTATAAAAGGTTGGGGGGCAACACTTTTCTTGGCCACATCCCAATTTTTTTTGCAAAACTTTTTACCCTTCTGTAAAACAACATCTAGGGTTGCATCCGAAGTCAAGTTGAAAAAACGGTACACCACGTAAAAACCAGACATTGCGTAAAATTGTCCACTTGGATGGGGACGGCTCCATTCAGAAGACCATTCAGACGAATTGACAACATTATTTGCAATTGAATTGCATTCATCCCATTTGGGAGCTCCAATGAGCTGAATGGGGACTCCGTGCTTTGCTCCTTTACAAAATAAAATAAGGAGAAAAATTAAAGGAAACAAAATAGAGAAAAATTTAGAATGAAAATAAAGTAAAGGGAAATTAAAGATAGATTCAACTCCTATTTATTGATTCATTTAAGCTGCATGAAATATTAAAAGTAGGGGTTAAGTGGTTAACTTTTGCATTCTACAGTGGTGAACTCGATGGCATCATTTATAGTCATCCGGCTAATGTGACAAAAAATGCTAGACTCCTATTTACTTTTTTATTTATTTATTTATTTGTTTATTTATTCATTCATTTCCAGTATATGGACTACGAAATTTTAGGATGCATGAAATATTAAAAATAGGGGTTCACTGTTGTGTTCTACAGTGGCGAACTCAACGGCATCATTTATAGTCATCAGGGTAAATGTGACAAAAAAAATGCTAGGCATGCGCAATTGGGTGATTTTGTTTTAATCATATTTCACTTTCCTTTGCATTTCCCAAGGTAAAACCAAACATAACGACATGTTACCAGCTCCAAAATACCTTTACTAAATTCTCTTCTTGCGCCGCTGGGGGAATTGTCACTTTCTTGAGATGGAGAAACACAGTTAAAACAGACATATTTTTCCTTGTAACCAGTCTGCAAACAAGGATGTTTGATCTCAACATTTCCTCTGGACAAATCTGCACCACTTACCTTAGGAAGCTTCTTCCTGAGAAGATAAGACACTGACTTGTCAAAAGCATCGTTTAAGCCATACCCAGGCAAGGAGTAGGCTGTGAGTTGATGATTGAGATGGCCAATTCTCAGATTTAACCCAGCTGACTCATTATTATTATTGTTATTGGGACTCTCTCGACTACTCTCAAATGTGACCTGTAGTGATGAGCCACCCAAATCAAGTGCACCGAAAGTTTCCTTTTTCGGTCTAGTAGTCCCTAATACACCAGCATTATAATTCAAAGCTATCCATCCAAAAAAAGCTTCATCTTCCCCACTGATGATCTTCACCCACTCTCTCTTGCACAAGAATGGTGAGCTTCTTAAAAGGGACCAAGAATTGTCAAGAAGCCATTTAGAGTCCAAATCGGGTAATCTGCGGACCCCAGCTGTAGCATAAAGAAATAGTGATGTAGTATTATGAGCATCTTGAGGGATTTGATTCTCTGCCCATTGGATTAGTGGTTTTATTGCTCCATCCAAGCCGGACATGTTGTGGACCAACTTGTCAAGACCAGGTTCTGTTTCCATTCGGTTATAAGCCCTTCCGCTAAAAGTTTTTGATTTTCTTTGAAAACCTTCTGGCATTGATTTTAACAAAATAGGCAGGCTTTCATCTTTGTTCTGGACAATAAATGACGCTTGGTATACATAAACACGGGTCCCTGTGCTACCACAATCAAGAACGACATAGAACCTCGATGGACCTCCGGACAACTTGAAGTAATAAGACAATGAGACACACAAAACACCAGCAACTAATAGAAAACAGAGAACCATAAGAGATATCAACAACTTCTTCCGCTTAGAAAAGTTTCTTGGAGATCCCTTTTCCTTCGAAAAACTTGATCCGGTGTTTTCTCTTAGGAAAAATGCAGCCTGCTTTGATTTAGTAGAAATTCTTTCAATTTCAGGATTGATATCATCATATTCTACATCGTTGTGATGATATACAGAGAAATCTTGAAGTGACGAGGTGGGGCGCAACTTGTTCTTCCTTCCTGCACTAGTGATTGAACCAGGTAATGGTGGAAAACCTGATGGTACATAAGGTGCTGTAGGTGCCTTCGAGGTTGAGAAACGAGCCAATAAAACAGAAACTGTTTTTGCAATTCCACTAAACACCATATTTGCAGAATCAGAAAAACGCAAATTGATGCTTTATAAGAGGGGCTTTCCTCGTTGTGTGTTACAAGTATGTTCAAATACCATCAAGTAGATATATTTGAGTTTGTGATGATGATAGAGCCCTGCAGGATCATCAAAAGGGCCAGTAAAGCCACAAGAGGTTATCAGAATCAACAAACATTACTACAATTGTTAATGGATAACTAAACTAAAGACACTATAGGAAATAACAATCTTCCACTCCTACAGATATTCCTAATTAACAAGTCTAAATATATAGGACAATGCTAAAAGGATGAAAGAAAAAACTGGCATTGAAAAACTTCAGTAACAAACATTATAATGACTATCATTGTATCTGAAACTCGAAAAATAACCGACCTTGGTATGCATGAGGTTGTCTATCTAATCAATGAAGCATTATGAACACACCAAACCTGGGGAAAAAATCGCAAATGGGTCACTCCGCACGGCGCCTGATCGACCGGACACGAGGAAAACGGCCTCGAGCACGGCCAAGATACGACGGCGTGAGGGGCGAAGTATGAAGTGGAATTTTTGACGGGTTATGAGGGTTGGGTTTTTTTCTGCCAAAACGGTGGAGGCGACGAAGTTTCACATTCCACCGATTGGACACTGCAAAATACTCAGATCTGTTTGGGAATTTGAGAGTTCTCTTGACTAGGGATCCTTTTGTGTAATTTCTTAATTTCTAACCGTGGGTTTTTCATTTTTTTTTATTTTTTGGAATATATAGTTTAGAAATTAGTTCAAATAGGACTAAAACTATGGCAAAAACCTAAAATAGGACTTGCTATGTTTTTATTCCAAAATAGGACCATATGAGTCCTATTGGAAACATAACTATTTTTTCATTCCATTCTTACCCTTCCATTAAATATGAATTAAAAATAGTCAAAAGCCATAATTAAATGTTTAATTCATAATAAATTCGAAAAAATCAAAAATTCGTAGAAATATAATTAAAAAATTTATAAAATTTTTATAAAATAAAAAATTCAATTTTTTTTTTAAAATAATTTTATTTTTAAAAAAATTAATAAAAAATAGTAAAACTCCGTAAAAAAAAATTAAAAAAATATGGATGCCTTTCCCACCGCCTGTACTACCTCCCAGCACCACCACCTCCGATCGATGAAAAAAATGCCATTTTCCCAGAAAAATGCCATTTTTTTCTGAAAATGCCAAAAAAGTGGCATATTTCTCTTTTCGAATGCCAACATTTTCATTTGTTTCTGCCATAAATATGGCATTCGTAATGAACTTGGCATTTTTTTCCCCTGGTGACTGGAGGTGGTGGTGCTGAGGCGGCAGATGCGGCGGCGATTTTTTTTTTGAGTTTTTATTTTTTTATTTTAATTTTTTTTAATTTTTTGAAAAAAAAAATAATTATATTTTTAATATCGAAATGTTTTTCTTAATTTTTTAGTATTTTTTACGAATTTTTTATTATTATTTTTATTTTATTAGGAATTAAAACATTTTAATAGCTATAAGGGTATAATTGTCCAAGGTACACATAATTAGTCCTATGCAAACATAGTTTATTTTTTGGTCCTATTTGTGAAAAGTGAATGACTTTTAATCCTATTTTGATAATTAACTCTATATAGTTTCTATTGTTCACGCATAGGGAGTATGATTAGTGAGGGTTTAATGCACCAAACACATTATATATGGAAATTCTTCGCATTAGCCCTTTATGATTTAAAAAATGTGTCAAATTCCCTTGTGTTTTAATTAATTATGTACAAAATTCCTTCTATGAACAAATTCAATTTTCAAATAAAATAAAAATGATTAACATTTTTGTGTGATTTAGAGATTTTGACATATTTATGTGCATATTCAATCAAAATATTAGGAAGAGTGATTTCAAAATCATCAAATTTATTCATAAAAGGGGTTCTATGCATGATTAATTAAAACACAAGGGGGTTTGATGCATTTTTCAAATCACGGAGGACTAATACGTTGAATTTCTATATCACGAGAGGGTTTGGTGCATTAAACCCGATTCCAGAGGAAGGTCTTTTCACCGGTGAGCATAGCTCAACTGGTAGATAGGGGTGTCAGAAGGGGTAAGTTTCGTGTTCGAATCTCGACAACTGGGATTAAAGGTTACTATGCTAAAATGCATAGGGTCTATACAAGTATCAGAGCTAGAGCTTCACTCTCTATCTGCCAGATTGTGATTAAAATCCACTTGTCCAATTTACATCTCACGTCTAACTGTCTGATCGGTGTTGGAGATCCCTCAGGAATGGAGTGTCATCCTTTTCATCATTACTAGACAAACACACGGGATAAATCTAGAGTAGAGTTATAATTTTCTAAGATTTATACTCCCTCCATTTCCAAAAGAAAGTCACGGTTTGACTTCACGATTATTAAGGAAATAAATTGACTTTATTGTAGAAAACACTGTTTATACACTGTTTGACACTATTTGACACTGTTTGGACACTGTTTGGCACTGTTTCGCACTGTTTGGCACTGTTTGGATGTAAATTTCTTTGCCAAATAAGGAAATAAGGGAAGTGTGACTTTGTTTTTGAAACATCTCAAAAAGGAAAGTGTAAGTTTCTTTTAGAAACGGAGGGAGTATTATTTTATCCCACTTTGATGATTTTTATAGTTTTTTAGATCAATATAATATACTATCATATTTTTTTAGATAAAAAAATATGTGATAGAGTATATGGGCCAGGACCCTAGGGTCCACATACTCAGGAGAACGGAAGGTACCACGACCACCTGGTGGGATCCTCGTCGGCCAGATGACCCTCATCAGCCAGAAAGAAGTCTACTCAGAATGTGATCCAGAAGCCAAGAAGAGCCGGGTGACCTCGTCGGCCGGGTCTTCGTCGGCCACGCCCTCGTCGGCCGTGCCCTCATCGACAACAGATGGCCTCCAGAATAGGGTCTTATACTTAATCTTTTCTATGTACTTTGTATCCGGCCCATTAGTGGCCCTATTGTAAATGGGCCTCCCAAGCCCAAGACTTGGGAGCCCAACCCTAATTTTTCCTATAAATACTCCCTCTGGGAGTAGTTGTAGGGGTTCAGAATTCATTAATACAAAGCAAATATACTACTTCTCTCTCTCTAGCTCTCACTTCTCTCTAGACTTATAGTCTATCATTTGGTGCTCTCGTTGAGAGCTAGAACAATCAGGTTAGCCTCCTCCGTCGCTACCAAGCACAGCAAACTGACAATGAGAAGAACTAAGTCAAACTGCAACCTCCTCAGCAAGGTCATCCCTGAGGCACAGGAGAACCAAGAGCACGAGGAGGACGCCACGGCCGACAAGGCCGCCGGGGGGGATGTCTTCCAGGAAGCCATCGACCTTGCAGGAGACCTACGCAACAAGCTCAACGGCGGCGCCCCTGACGCCCGCATCGGTTTGGACAAGAAGCGTGCGGAGAAAGGTGACAACGCCTTAGCGCAACCGGCCTCTCCCGCCGTTGACCCTCAGCTCCAGGCCGCGCTCTCGGCCATCATCGCCAGCTTGGCCCAGAACCCCACCGTCCTCAGCGCACTCATTCCAAGGACGGGGGAGAACACGACACTGCCTCCTCAGCCCCAACCATTGGCCGTCAGGCTAGGCAACAATGAGGGGGTGGTGCCCCAGGACACGACGTCGTCCCACTCCCACCCTACTTCCCCGCTTCGAGCTGGACCGACCCCAACGCGTGGAAAAGCCTCAGCCTTTAACAGGCTAAGTGACATGTGCCGTCGGCCTGCTTTGGAGAGGATGGCGGGGCAGATTGGGCAGCGTGAGCCTGGCTCACCCAGAGAAAGCTTGGGGTCGGTATCCCGGACAGCGGATCGGCCCCGCCTGGACAAAGTCAAGGGGAAACAGGATGAGGATGATGCCCGTCACCGAATCAACACGGCTCATGCAGCCCGCTTGCAAACTCAGGGCGCCACCATGGCCGCCAGGGGGCCCAGGGACGAGGTGATCGCCCAACTCGAGCGGAGGCTCGCCCAGATGGAGGCCAAACAGCTGGCCGCCACGCCCACCGGCAACTCATCCAGAGATCCCGGCTTCAACGCCCTTCTGAACAAGGTCACTATCCTTGAGAGGGAATTGGCCGAAGGACGAGGAGACCCCATCATCCAGGTCAGGACGAGGACCCCCTTCACCGCCAGGGTACTCTCGGCCTCTATCCCCGAGAAGTACCGAGGAAACGCCATCAAGCCCTACGACGGCCGCTCCGACCCCCAGGAGCACTTCAGCCGCTACCAGAACAACATGCTGATGGTGAACGCGTCAAATGAATACCTCTGCCGTTGGTTCCTTTCCACTCTTGAAGGGCCAGCGTATGAGTGGTTCAACGCACTCCCCGAGGGGAGCATAGACTCGTGGCAAGACCTTGCCCAGCGTTTCCTCACTCACTTTGCCGGAAGGAAGCGCGCGAAGAAATACTTTACCCATCTTCTCTCCGTCAAACACCAGCATGACGAATCACTCCGGTCGTTCATCGACCGGTGGACGAAGGAGACTGATGAGATCGAGGGGGCCGATGAGCGCACCCTCCTCGTACTCTTTCAGGGTGCCCTCCGCAGCACCCCATACGAAAGGAGCCTCATCACTGACCCACCGAGGTCTTATCTGAAGGCGCTTCAGCGAGGAAACTTGTACGCTGACTCTGACAAGCTTCACCGCCACAAGAAGGCCGGACGGGGGACACCCCTCCAAGAAGACGAACGCCGCGCCAGCAGCAGGCGCACCCTCGGTCGGGGACAGATGTCAGGGAGGACAAGGCCGCCATGGATCTGGCGGAAAGAACAAAGACCGCATATGGCGGCCGAGGATGGAGAGGCTGAAGACACCACTTACCCACTCGGTCAGCACCATCCTCGATTACGCCTAGGAGCACGACCTCATTGAGCGAGATCCTCGACCGGAAAAGGAGATCTATGTCGTCCATCAGGGCGGCACCTACTGGCGTTATCACTGGAACACCTCCCACAACACAGACGATTGTGTCACTCTGAAGAGGCACATCGAGAAGCTGATTCGTCAGGGGGAACTTTCCCAGTTTGTTAAGGTGGCCCACGCAAAAACACGTGGGTAAACACCGACAAACATGGGGGCGAACCCTCTATGAAGAAGCGCGAGATCGGCAGGCTTAACGATGACGACGAAGACTTCGAAGAGCCCCCTCCGAAGAAGAACCACATCAACCTCATTGTGGGGGGTAACACTGGGGGGGATTCGGCCACCCAGAGGAAGAAATGGGCCCAATCCCTTTACATCGGGGAGGCATCCCACGCTCCCCCCAGCCGAAGAAACAACGGGCGGAGGCGATCACCTTCACCGACAAGGATCTGCCTCCGGGGCCCGCATCACATAGGGGACGCCCTCGTCATCCGGTGCGAAATAGGTGACTCCATCATCCACCGCACCTACATCGACACGGGGAGTTCCGTCAATGTCATGTACCTTGACACATTCAGGCAGCTCAAGCTGGACAGAGCGTTGCTCAAGCCGATACGGACACCGTTGTCCGGCTTCACCAGGGACTCTATCGACGCCGAGGGCACGATAGTCCTCCCCGTGGAGGTCGGCGACGGCTCCCATCGCATCAAGATTGACATGGAATTCATGGTGGTCAACCTCGAGTGCACCCACAACTTGATATGGGGGCGGCCAGCACTGGAGGATTTG